TTCACCATGTTAGCCAGGATGGTCTCGATCTCCTGACCTTGTGATCCACCCATCTTGGCCTCCCAAAGTGCTGGGATTACAGGCTTGAGCCACCACGCCCGGCCAAGCCAAGGTTTCTTAGAGTGGCTCTTCTGATTGATGTCTGAGCACCAGACTCCAGGGCCACATCCTCTCTGCTCACCTGAACTTATGTGGGCACCCATGACTCCTAACACAGAGAAGGGAAATACAGAGTTGAATTGCAAGAATTTAAACTCATCACAACATGGTCTCTAAGACCTTGTATTAACTCTTGGTGTACACATATAACCGTAATCTTCCCCAGAACCTTGGGTACATGACGACAGCCCTGAATATGCCCCCTACATTCTTTTTTTTTTTTCCCTGAGATGGAGTCTCACTCTGTCGCCCAGGCTGGAGTGCAGTGGCGCAATTTCGGCTCACTGCAATCTCTGCCGCTCGGGTTCAAGCAATTCTCTCGTCTCAGCCTCCCGAGTAGCTGGGATTACAGGCGCCTGCCACCGCACCTGGCTAATTTTTGTAGTTTTAGTTGAGATGGGGTTTCACCATGTTGGCCAGGCTGGTCTTGAACTCCTGACCTCGTGATCCACCTGCCTTGGCCTCCCAAAGTGCTGGGATTACAGGAGTGAGCCACCGTGCCCAGCCATGCCCCCTACAATCTTACAGAGAAATGGGCTTGTAGCTTTTGGTCCAGTTAGGACATTTAATCGTATTTCTTCAACCGTAAGTGCTTAAACAAAAGTTAAAAGCGAGATGAAGTTTACTACCTGATGCAGATGATGCATCAGATTCCAATCCTCCAGCTTGTTGTTGATAAAACTGCTGATAATCCTGTGAGTACTGAAGAAAAGTCCACCATTAAAGCTGCTATTCTCAGACACACTCTGAAAGACTCTAAGGTGGATGCTGCTAAAATCTACCTACCTGGGCATATTGGGCATAGCCATCTTGACCTGGCTGCAGATAACTGTAGTCAACACTGCCTCCTTCACCACTTTGAGACTACAAAACGTCAAAATGAGACAAAGACAAATTTAGTGGGCATTAAAGAAAAAAATTCAGAAGTCCCTAAAAATAAGCTCGTATTGCTGGGCGCCGTGGCTCATGACTATAATCGAGCAGTTTGGGAGGCTTAGGTGGGTGGACCACCTGAGGTCAGGAGTTCAAGACCGGCCTGGCCAACGTGGTGAAATCCTGTCTCTACTAAAATACAAAAATTAGGCAGGTGTGGTGGCAGGCGCCTGTAATCCCAGCTACTCAAGAGGCTGAGACAGAAGAATCGCTTGAACCCGGAAGGTGGAGTTTGTGGGTCAGCCAAGATCACACCATTGCACTCCAGCCTGGGTGACAAGAGTGACACTCCGTCTCGGGAAAAAAAAAAAAAAGAGAGAGCTCGTATCTCGAGTACCACTACAGGAGAGGTCATGTCTATGAATCTGGGCACCACCACCACCATACTACCTTGAGCAAAAAGATCCTCGATCTTACCTGGGTGGATGACCACTGAGCAGCAGCAATAGCTGTACTAGCTACAGAGAAGGCGCTGACGCGGTTACCATCTGAGAGGACCAAGTCTCTGAAACCACAAAGATCCAATCATGTGATTCTATCTCAGTATTCCCACAATTAGTGCCCCTACACCACCAAGGAAACTGATTCACTCCACCCTTTGTCAGGTCTCAAATGCCAGCAAGGCCACATTTCATAGTGGGAGGGCTCTTCATGGGGAAATTCCTCAGTAAGCAAGTGGCCCTATAGTATCATTGTTCTATCTTGTAACCTGCCATCTAATAAAGCATTTTTTTCGATGTGCAATTATACTAAAAAAGGGAAATTTACAATGCTAGAGTTAAGCACTATATACATGAAATTATTAGCACGCTGTTCTGGAAGGAATGCATTATTTCTGGATGGGTTAGCACTATACTGCTGCAGTTTGCAAAGCATGTGTTCTCAACCCATCTGCCATGCTTGCCTTTCTCCTGATCTGAAACCATTTCAGGCAACTTCATCAACTGATTATAGAGGATAGGAGGGAATAATCACTAAAAGAAGACAAACGTGTCCCTCCTGGCCTTGGCAATCAGGGAAGATCACAGTGTCTCAACATACTTGGGGTACATACAGGCTTGGTATTCAGTTAGCACACTGTACAGATGTGCAGATGCAGTAGTTTGAAACAAGGACAATGAAGCCACTCACTTTCTGGCACTTTTGGCAAAATCAACCCCAATAGTTTTGCCATCAATTTTCAAAGGAGGATGGAGACTCTGTAATATCTGAAGCAGCTGAGAAGCATCCTGAAGGAGAATGTGAAGAAAAAAATTTGTAATGTAATTAAAAATCTCTCCCTACCATCTACCCCATTCAAAGAAATAGTTTTCTATATACAAAAAAAAAGTAATTAATTCCTTATTGTGTTTGCAGATATGAAACCTCAAGAAAGGAATATCTCTCTTTCCTCTAAGATGTGAAGGTTTCCAGTATTACCAAAAGAGCAAATGCTAAACCAATCTAAAACAAAGTACATCTAGCACTTTGGGAGGCCGAGGTGAGCAGATCACTTCAAGTCAGGAGTTCGAGATCAGCCTGGCCAACATGGCAAATACCTGTCTCTACTAAAAATACAAAAATTAGCTGGGCGTAGTGGTGGGCACCTGTAATCCCAGCTACTCAGGAGGCTGAGGCAGGAGAATCGCTTGAACCCTGGAGGCAGAGGTTGCAGTGATCCGAGATGGTGCCACTGCACTCCAGCCTGGGTGACAGAGACTCCATCCCAAAAAAGAACAACAACAAAAAACCAAGTACAAAGGACTAAACTGTGGCTCAAAAAATTCTGCCAGTTGCCTATACTGAAGTCATCAGTCCTGTAATTTAGCAGTGCAAAAACTGTCATTATGGAGCCTTGCATCTTGGGCTTCAGGAGCCTCAGACATGGTTTCAAAACTGGATGAACCACATTTGCCTCTTAAAGCTGTTTCTTTTAAAAAGGAAAGAATCGATAAGAACCTCACCATTGCAGAAGACAGCTGCACAAATGCGAAGCCTCTGTTTTGCTGGGTCTGTTTGTCTTTTATGAGGCGGATGTTATTGACTGCTAAAGACGCGTAAGGAGACAGTGCTGTCATGATGGAATCCACCACAGTGTGCGGAGCTATGTTCCGAAGAATGATCGCTAGGGGTAAACGAGACAAATGACATACACATGCATTCCCACCACCAATGCACCAATGTTTTCCAAGACAGTGTCAAGTACAAACAAATAAATCCATCTGGGACGTTCCTAGTGTATTTTCTACCCTGACATGGAGAAGATTCTAAAAATCCAATCTTTTAAGGGACAACCTGAAGCTGCTGCTGCTCCTTAAAAAAGGGTAGAACAGAAATTTCCAACTGAGGTCAATTTTTTTTTTTTTTTTTTTGGAGACAGAGTCTCGCTCTGTTGCCCAGGCTGAAGTGCAGTGGTGCGATCTTGGCTCACTGCAAGCTCCGCCTCCCGGGTTCACGCCATTGTCCTGCCTCAGCCTCCCAAGTAGCTGGGATTACAGGTGTGTGCCACCACACCTGGCTAATTTTTTGTATTTTTAGTACAGACAGGGTTTCACCATGTTAGCCAGGATGGTCTCGATCTCCTGACAACTGCAGTCAATTTTTAACATGAAGACCAAAAGATCATGTATGAACTTACTATCACAGTAGTAATCCACAGACTGAACCGACTCTGTGGTTCCAGGAGGCACTTCCTGTTCAGAGTCTAGAAGGGAAAGTGATCCAATTAAAGACAAACAACTAATGTATTTTCACCAAAGAAATACATTAAAAACCCCACAAGTTTTTATTTTAACCAAACAAAACAATCATTTTTTAATTAAAAAAAATTTTTTTTATTATTATCATTTTTTTGAGACGGAGTCTCACTCTGTCGCCCAGGCTAGAGTGCAGTGGCCAGATCTCAGCTCACTGCAAGTTCTGCCTCCCCGGTTTACGCCATTCTCCTGCCTCAGCCTCCCGAGTAGCTGGGACTACAAGCGCCCGCCACCTTGCCCGGCTAGTTTTTTTGTATTTTTTCAGTAGAGACGGGGTTTCACCATGTTAGCCAGGATGGTCTCGATCTCCTGACCTTGTGATCCGCCCGTCTTGGCCTCCCAAAGGGCTGGGATTACAAGCTTGAGCCACCGTGCCCGGCCCATTTTTTTCTTTTTTAAGCATTTGTGCCTATAGTAAAACCTCATTAATTGTCACATGGTTAACAGAGAATGCAAACTTTGGGCCACAGTGGGACTGACACTACCCTGTACTAAAGAAAGGCAGATGCAGAATGCAAACCAGGTGAGCAGACTTGATTCTAGAAAACAAAAGAACTTTTTGTGCTCTCACAATCATGAGCAGCATTACCTAAGGGAAAAGATTTAAAGAAATCAGACAAGTTGTTTAAGTACACTAAAATCTATACTTTTCCTCAAGCTCACAGTTAACAACCCTATCTGTCAGATTTTTGTTTTGGTTTTTGGGAGGCAGGGTCTTGTTTGTTGCCCAGGCTGGAGTGCACTGGTATGACCATAGCTCACTGCAGCCTTCAACTCCTGGACTCAAGCAATCCTCTCACCTAAGCCTCATGAGTAGCTAGGACTACAGGAGTGTGCCACCACACCCCAGATAATTTAAAATTTCTTTTTTTTTGTAGAGGCAGGGTCTTGCTATCTCTTGCCAGGCTGGTATTGAACTAATATCTCAAGTGATCTTCCCACCTTGGCCTTGCAAAGTGGTGGGGTTACATTGAGTCACCGCTTCCTGCCCCAGTTAGTCAGGTTTTAATGCATATTGCAAACAGCTGAATCCAGTCTTACCAAACTTGTCTGCTCCACATCGGAAGCATTTTAGTCTTTTCCTGAAATTGTTAAGGCAGCACTGAAAAAAAAAGTTTTATCTGTAATTATTTCTCACATTAGGCCAGGCTTTCTAGTAACAATAACAGTGGG